TAGCCTCTTGTGACATCTCTGCCTCTCGCAACAACAACATCCTCTTCAATTTTCTCTCGGTGGCCTTCCTCCCTTCTAGCAAGCTTTCTCACCACCATTAACGCAAGAATTGCCCCGAACTCGTCCATTATGTACAGGGCTCGTGTAAGATTCATGAGTTTTTGATGTCTGTTACTAGGTTTAGGATTTCCTTGAGCGAGAAATTTGAGTAAGATAGTCTAGTGATGGGAAATTAGAAAGATAATTTTATACGTATTATGCGTTTCTCTAGGTGTTCAGAATAGCAGTTTTCCGTATTGATAACCAGACGTTTATTCTAGGCTAGTGATGCTGGTACAGAAGCATCCTTTTATTGATATCACATGAATGAATAGGGGATTAGGAGGAAAAAGAAATCTGAACAGACCTGATGTCATTTCATTAAAGGGTATTTGTTATGCTGCATTTGGAACTCAGACAACTTATCCGGGACCAGCAGGACAAGAAGGCCGCATTTGGAACCACCAAGACCCTTTCTGCCCAGAATGCAACCAGCTCGAATTCATTTTTTTATCATAACGGTGTCCTTATTTTACACGCTGCATAGGTTTTGTAACTCCTTTGATGCATATTTAATTTACCTGCAATTGATAAACACAAAAATATCTTTTGATAACATCAATAAAGGGCCATAAAATTACCCATCAATATCTTGTGGTTGCCTGCGACAGTCATTGTTTACATACAAAAGCTATTGTGACACATCTTGTCCTGCTCACCCAGCTTCGCAGGAGGGCGAGATGGACAACTTGTCCAGGACAAGATAGTAGAGGTTCCGAACGGTCAAGACATTTTGTCCAACTGGTCTGGAGGAGCAGGGCGAGCAGTTCCGAATGCAGCATTAGCAAGTGTGATGCACCCTTCCAAGAATAGGTCCCAAAACCAGGGTATCATGCAGACCCAAAAGCCCAAACATAACCTTTCTTACTTTTTATTTATGGTAAGGGTTGAGACAGGGGCAATTCCCCATTTACCCCCCATTATTACCACTTCGTGCTAACTTATAGAAAAACGGACATTAAGAACTCTGGCTGTGTGAGAGTGTTGTGGATTTAATCTCTGAGTGGTGAGATGTAGTGCATTTTTTCATCATTTCGCAGTAATTGTGATGCCATAGCAGTTGTACCTGTGTTGTTTATGACTATTTCTTAAGCTCTATAAGATGGTACATTGCTGTAACATTAACTATAAAGGTTCTGATATTTTCATTACAAATGCACTTTAATTTCTTTTGATACTCAAGACTTAGAATTAAAGATATAGGGTTTTTTCCTTTCCTTCTTGTTAAAGATCCAGCTGATGAATGAGGATTCTTCTGTGTCCTGTCAAATCTCTAGAATGATAATTGAAAATCCCCACAGCAGAGGAGGCAGCACTATTTGGCATAAGGCCAAGGGTGAACAATGAAATGTGAAGGATTTAATCTGTAAACATATTTCATATAATCGAAACTTGCCAAAGCTAACAAAATCAAACCCAACTTAATATAACCATATGCTAAGGGGTCTGCCAAGCAGTCTCCAATATTTAAGCCAATTTTGATTCTTTTTTTTGTTGTTATGCACACCTATAGTGGGATGTTAACTGCCAACCTTTAGCTCATTTGAAATAAAAACTCACAAAATAGGAAAAAACCCAAAGAAGTTTTAATATATTTGCATTTGAATATCCCACTCCATTCTCACCTAACTGTACACCACTTCTCTTCTCTGTATATATATATATATATATATATATATATATATATATATATATATATATATATATATATATATATATATATACACACACACACACACATACATACATACATACATATTTATACAGTATTAGGTGCTCCTCTCATCCTGACTGCACATACATCCTGAGATAAGTCTGTGACACCCCAGAGTGTTGCATGAGGCAGTATATCTGATCTTTTTTGGTTGAATGATAATCTTCCAAAACTCATGTTTGTGAGCACCTCTCTGATAGATGCATATCGGGCTGTGGGAGGAGTCAGCAATTTAGTTATATTTATGAGACATATTTTAGGCTAAGTAAGGCTATTTTATAAACTGAACTAGATAGTCTCATTTCTCTCATGATTCAGATTTATTGAGGTCATTAAAATTTATGATATTAACATTATTTTAAGTTTCAATAGTAATTGAACAATTTAACCAGTATTCTCTAATTGGTTATATGATTAATTTGTCTTTCAGCTTCCAAGGGATAAATCTCTTTGTAATATCACTGCACTTGTTATAGTGATAAATTTTGCATTCAAGAAAAGTTGCCATACAAAAAGAAGCATGATATAGCTTCCCATCTCCAATCCAAGCAGTTTCATGTATTCAAGTTTGATACAGAAGTTATAGTAAACTGTGGGTTATGATCAAGTGCAGAATAACTTAATGCTTGCTAACAATTGTGTAAATCCAATTTAAATCTCCACAGCACCCTGATGCTCGTGGGGCAC